GCAGTACCACCAGTACCTATACCTAAGTCGATCGTTCCAACTGTTCTGCTGGTTGATTAGGTTAGAAATTCCATGGTAAACATGAGCAACCAGTATCGCGAGAAAAACGGGAAATACAAAAAACAACTTCTACAAGTACACATAAATCAATCACGTGTATAAATTTTTAAAAATTATTTCGTTAATTCAATTAATATTTTGTTAATTTGCATCAATTCAAACAGCTGTTCTGCTACATCGATACAGTACTTATATCTATATATATTGACAGCGACTCATCTCCATGCGACTGCAATACGCTGTGTTGCCACATATCAGATAACCCGCAATTTATTGTCTGCTTCATTTGGAAAATTGCTAACTTTCAATTTGATTTATTAAAAAACTGTACGGATGGCATCTCTGTGGGAAATATAGTAGATTCGTCATATATTTTACTTCATGCTCATAATTTTTCATAAGAATTGTAAATATACTTTTTGTTTAATTAATCAAAACCTTCGTTTTTCGCGCAGCTCGCCTATGCTTACCGTGTTAAAGAGTCCAACTTTGCAGCTTTATATCTCGAAAACGGTACGGACAGTCATAATAAAATTTTGAACATTTATGCATTACACTCTAATGAAGTGATATGCAAAGTTTGAAGAAGATTGTAAATAAAGTGATTTTGGGATAAACTACCTTAATTGCAAACTGCAATGCTACCATGAAAAATGCACTGTTTTTAAGTTAATTACTATTATTGTTTTCAACAAACGCTGATTCAATGCTGAATCAGAATTGATTCAACATGGAATAAACGCTGAATCAACGATGTAGTTTACGACTGATTTCAGCGCTGATATTTTTTATACGCAGCTGCGTACGCTAATCACATCTGTAACGTCACGCTCATATTCATCAAATATTCATAACATTTTTTTATAGCATAGTAGTACATGCCAGTAAATGTCCCTTCAGGACGTTCATCAAGCATAAGGTTTTTTTCGTAGATATTATTCAAGCATCAATAATACACTAAAAATACCGTAAAAAATACCACAAAAATTAAATATCATTCAACTGTACCCTCTTTCACATGTTCAATTTTAAAAATTTGCAATTTAACATATATCACTTAAAATTGCACCTATTAGATCTATATGAAACCCGTAATTTTTGTTTGTATAAAAGATTACTTTTTGATAAACCTGTTTCATTTTCAAATAAATCTATAATTTCTTTTTTCCTTTAACAACACAAGATAAAAGGGGTCAAGTAAGTGTAAAAGCATGTACCTAAGCTCGTTCATATGAGAAAAATAATTTCCAGCATTCCTGTATACATTTATGCTCCTCCCACCTCTCTGAATTTCGTAAAAGACGAAAACAAAACAAAAAACAAGTATTGTATTTATACATTACCAAAAATCTTTTTTTTTTAAGTATGAAAATTTGAGAAACAATATGGAAAATCGTATCAAAAATTATTTATTTGTTTTAAGAGAAACAAATCAATGATAAGTGAATTAACAAATTAATGTTCATTAATATATATGAAAGCCGCTCTGCTAATATACACTAATTTCTAAGTTTTTGAAAGAAACGTGTACCAAAAATATACATTTCAATAAATAAATTATTTATTGAACGCATAATCGAACCAAAAGTAAATAAAAATTTACATTAAAAATATGTTACGAACTGTACGGTAAGATGTAGTAATCACAAATCATAAATTGGGCCTGCTCATAGCAAAGTGGGTAACGGCCTCGGCTTGTGTGCAAGGGATTGCAGGTTCAAATCAGCTGACTTTTTTTAGCAGTGTAACCTTTACTAAACATGTTCAACTCCCTACACGCTCCGTATTCTTATCAAAGGATATCTTGAACTTAAGTCAACCGATTAGTGTGAAACAATTTTTTATAGGACCAATTCTTCATGTTTTTTATCTTTCAGTAAGTAATCAGTATAGAAAAAAAAAAATTCAAATTTCAGTCGTAAGAGCAATAATATTAAGTTTGAGGAAGGTAACGATAGTTATAGCATGTGGAGTAACGTATTATTTTGGGATCCCCATTGTAAAAGGAAAAGATAAAATTTGCAAAGGTTCCAAACAAATGGATTTTCAAGTAGAAGTTATGACTTAGTAATAAGTTACTGTTTCTAAGGTGCGTTCATAACAAGAATCTGGTTATTGCGGTAAGTACGTTCAGTCTATACGAGGCAAAAATAACAGTAACATTACGTATTTTCTATTAAAAAATACAACAGTGAATAAAAAGTTTCAAGAAAGTACTATTTAATTTAAGAAAAGGTGTAAAGTAAAGTGGTTGTAGCCATCATCAGATGTGTTGGTATCCCAATCTACTTGAACCAAATAAGAATAAATATTGTTGCTATTGGCAGTAGCACTATAGTTATACAGAGAGCATTTCAGGACATAAAGTATGTTTGAATGTGCAGCACCATGTTTGGAAGAGACATACAGATATGCTTTCTATCAAAAATTGGAGGCTCTTCTCTCTGGCGCCCTCTGAGCTGAGCTAGCCATTAGCCAAATCACTTTATCCCATAAGTGATTTGGAATGTTTAAACACTTCCACTGATAATAGAAATTCGTATTTTTAGTAATTTGAGTTCTTACAGAGCTGTATATAATCAAAAAATTGTTTGTAGAATATTTCAATTAACCTAGAATCATAACCTAGCCTCAGCAGGTCATGGGAAAATTACAAAAAAATCATATGATTATCTTTTTAAGATCCCGTAAAAATCTCATGATTTTTATGTGATGATTTCGACAAAATAATCATGTGAAGATCATGCGTTTTTTACGTAAACTTTGTCACAAATACAAAAGTAATTTTTAATTCAAACTCCGATTCATGTATCTATTTGTAAAGTAGAATAAGGGTAGGCTAAAAGAGATTTGGTTCTGAAAAAATTAATAAATGCATAAAAACTGTCTTTTGAATTGGACTTTTGATAATTTGTAAATTATGACATATAAAATGGCATGGTCAAAAAATTTTTAAATAAATAATTCATTGGTAAATGTAAAGTTAGTCCACAAAAATGTATTGATAACAATTATTTCTATACACATTATTATCAATCATTAAAATGTAATCATTTTCGGAAATCCAAGAAAAATACTTGACTTCTTATTTCATTAGTAAATTCTGTGCTTCTACAACTTTCACATTATAGCCATTCTCAATTTTTAAATCAAACAATAAACGTTGTATCAATATACTTCAAAATAAAATAAGACATTAAGGAAAACTTGTAGATATCTGTAAAAAAAGGCTTTTTATTGCTCAATTTTCTCTTTTACTCAATTTTTGCCGATTGCGTTAAATTTGCTGTTCTGATTTTGGCATGTTGAATTCCAAACTAGTCTTCTAAAAGCCTGAAACCTCAAAAAAATCAATCATCTTTTTTTGGGTAAAGTTTGACATTTGAGTACATTTTAGTCGGCTATTTTTTATGCACAATTTTTAATTTTTTATATCCAACATTCAATATGTAATGTGTTTTTGAGAACTCGGAAAATTAAATAACGGCTTTTTAGTGGAAAATGGTTTCTTCTTTTAGAATGGACATCTCGTATGTGCCTTTTTGAGACTAGCAAATTCAACATTAAATTTTGATGATTGATAAGAATGTACATAGAAATTACTGTTATCAAAATATTTTTTTTGTAGTAACTTTACATTTATCTATTGATTATTTATTTGAGAATTTATCTACTATGATATTTTATGTCCAAAATTTCAACTTATCAAAAGTCCAATTCAAATAACAATTTTCATGCATTTAAAAATTTTTCCCAAACTATGTCTCCTTTAGCCGACTCTTATTGACTGTAGTCAGAAGTGGTGAATGAATAAATGGATAACGAAGCGATAATATATTTGAATCTCAATCAAAATTTTTTTTACTGCATTCATAAAAAAGGTGAGGGTTATTCTTTTTCAGGTGAGTATTATTCGGTCGAAATTATCACATACAAATTGGTGATTTTCACATCATCTTTACGAGGTACGTAATCATTAGTTTTTTTTCGTGATTTTTACATGACTTGCCAAGGCCTGGAACGAAAACAACTAAGTCGTTATTTGGTATTTTTGTAATTTTTTACTAATGTTTTTTTGATAAAAAAGAAAAAAAACATTTTAGCTAGAAAAGAAACCAACACTTTCAAAGATATTTTTATTACCTTCAAATTTTTTAAAAAGCATAAATTTTATAAGCAAGATTTAGATTTATTTAATATTTATTTAATTTTTTTTAATTTCAACCGAGTAAAAAGTCACGTTTGAGATCGCTGGCATGACCATGCACACCACACAGATCCTGATTTTCAGACTTTAAGTTTTAGACTGTATTATTTAGTTGGATGATTCCTTTTAAAGATGAGCATGCCTCTAATTGCTTTTTTCTAATTTCAAATGTTAGCCCTGAAATTGGGTTACGTGGTGTGCACAAATTAACTTACAAATGTGTGGAATATATACTTATTAATGTATGTTTACATGTATGTATGTGTGCATGTATGTGTGTATGTATGTATGGATGTATGTATATATACGTTATAGCCACGGAGTGCAAATGCAGACACTGTAGACGCAGAGCATTGATCTTTCGTGCAGCAATGAATTGTATGCTTAAATATACCTATATATTTTACTATAACATACGGTTACAGTTAAAATAATTCTTGCTTTTGCGATCACTATGCTGCAGACTTGCAGAGCTCCATTATGTATTTTGTTGAGAATGTTAAATTTGTACTAAAACATTAGTATCAAGACAGATACTTAGAGTGCATTAAAAATGATAACTGATTGTTGGCATACAAATTGAATTATGCTCTCGGCTTAAAGCTTTTATTACTGTCATTATCGACAGTTAAAATAAAAAAATTAATGCCTAAGTAGATCTCATAAAGAATTTTTTTAACAGTTACATAAGCAAAGAGTGCACTTGCACACATAAATTTTGCATAAATCTTACCTATATCAGCACAATTGAAAATTCTTTCCGGCCCAAGGTCAGCGACACCCTTCTTGCAAAGGTAACTAGAAACATTTCGAAACCATTGGCTTAGCTTATCCTTGGAAAATGTAAGTCTGCTGGCTGCAAAATTTTCGGCAATCTTTACTGCGAGCTTGGGAAATCGTTTCAGATAATTCTCATACCAGGAGCGTCCTGGTACGTTGTTAGGAAACGGATTCTTTCTCTGCGTTTTGATGCAGAGCATCCGCACGCATTCGAGTAAATGAGTTTTGGTAATATTGAAGCCCTCGGCGCTCTGATGAAAAATCCAATCAGCTATGCGCTTCTCCTCAGCAGCGGTGAATATAGAAGTAGGTCCAGGTTTGTCCGAATGAAGGCCCGAGCTCTTGGCCCGTATCGTCGACGCTGGAATCCCATACTTGCGCACAAGCTGACATATTCTTTCGCCCTTACGTAGGTCCTTTAAAGCGAGAGCTACATTCTCTTGGGGGTAACATAGCCGCTTTTTCTTTGAAGCTTTTCTGTCAAATCTGCTTGGCTTACGAGGCATCTTGCAAATTATGTGGTTACGTTGTCAAAATCGGACGATAATAATGGTGTAGGCAATAATTTTACTTTCTGATGATCCTCTGCTCTTTTTTCTCATTTCGTCACATACAATACTCTTTTCTCGCCAGACGGCGAACAACTAACGGCCATGGCGATGACTTCTTTCTTTCTAAAACGAAGAAGAAATAGAGACAGCAAATGAAAGAGAGGGTATGGGCGATGGATTTGTTTAAATCTCTCCCGTGTAGTCAAAAATAGCTCAACTGTCGCCCATGTGTGGATCCCTTTTCTACATATGCCTGTACATTTAGGCTAGTATAATCAGCAAAAGCAGTACATTTAATTTTTTACAGGTAATCACGCAGTACCCTCTATGTATTTATCGATAAGAAATAAGTCAGTTAACAATAATTCTTATTTATGCTGTAACATCTGCAGGTAATATTAGAACATGCAATTTGACTTCAGAGTTATGAAAATTGGTTAACACTTATATTCAACAATACAAATTACTAATGATAGTGAAGAAACAATATTACAATTTTTTGATGAAATGAATTTATTCATCGAAGCGATCTTTAATCTTATATTAATTCTGACCCAGTTTGCATCGTCATAAACGGACATATTAAAGCTAATTTTGCTTTCTTGTAGAGAGAGCTTTGTTGTAAACAAAGAATGACAGATAAAAAATATGCTCGAAACATGTTTCCGGAAGTCTAGAATCGAAACACGCTACTCTGGTAAAAATATCGATCTCTGTGTGTGTGTATAAGTGAAATTGTGTAATCAGTTATATCTTAAAATTTTCTCACTTAAATTCAATCCATATATTTTTTTTTTTAACGATCTTCCGAACCAACAAAAAAAATTAGAGTTTTGTTGTTTTTTTTTTTCTATTATTTTAATTGTGTTGATCATTGCGAATCATTTTAACTTTCATGTCAAATTTTCAGCTGTTTACGGTCATCTTAGTATAATTTACATTAAATTATCATTTAAGTCAAAATATCTGGAAGATCAGCCATCTTTCTACAAAAATAATGCATTAAGATAGAAATAAAAAAAGAATTGTGTGGGTGTGTGTTTCTGTATGCAAATAGTTATATTCCTTGATTCCTTGGACGGATTTTAATTTATGGCAGTTCGGAGAAAATTGAAGTTACCTACCTCATTGACGAGGTTGATTTGATTTTCCAGCTTAATAATATTAATTATTAAATAACTAGCCATTTCAACAAAAAAAAAGGATTGTAGCACTTTCTTGACATTCTTAAGAATTATTCTAGCCAAGACTCAGTAAGATTGATTGAGAATAAGACGAGAAAGACGTAATATCAGATGTCAAACGAATGACGCATTATCTGATTTTTTGTCTTTCGTTTCCAAATCACAGCTAATGTAACTTAAATCAGGATTTCTATATTGTTTCAAAATGTGACAACTTTTCATTTGTCAATACATTAAATTAAAAGAGTTTATTTTAAATTTATCACAATTTTCTGGGTATATCTCCGATTGGTAATTGGTATACATTTAATTAGATGTATCAGTTTCTAACCCTACCGATCTTTAGCTAATCAAGTCGCACGGGAGTGCAACGTGGTCAGTTTGAGAAAGCAGACGAAGCCTCGAAAACCACGCTACTTTTTACTTCAGATTTGCATACTCAAATTTTCAAATACCGAAAATTAAGTATTTTTGCCAGTATACCTGATGTATTTTGGTTTAATTCAGCCTCTTTAATCCTACTCTACAGCTTTGCCGATAAATACAGTTCAGAAAAATGTAATAATGAAATCGAGGCATACGTATCTCAAAACACTTAAATTAAGATTAAAATTTCTTCAGTTTCAGTTTCAGCTCGAAAATTTTTGTACTACGAAGTTGGCTGCAAGCCGTATTTTTCCTGTGCATAATTGGGATAGGCGTGTTTTTAAAATCTAGCAGAGTTGCCAACAGTGTAATATCGACTAGAGGTATTTCGTAGTAAATAGCATGCAGCGTTGGGAGTTCTCAGTGGCTAAGATGGTAGAGCGCTTGCTTTCCGCCTGGAGGGCTCAGGTTCAAGACTCTGCTCTGTTACTTCCTCTCAGAAATTCTCGGATAACTCTATCATGTTTTTTATTCGCTATGCGCCTATGTCAGGTGGCGCTGTCGAGTGACAGAAATTGTCCCTCACTCAGATCGCCAGAATGCATGGAGCCTTATAGGAAAACTTTTTAATAAATTTAAAAAAAGGTTATTAAGAATGAGTTGACCAAATGAACCAGTGATTTGAGTGTGTATTATGTTATTGTGCAGTAATAAATTTTGTTTGGTGTTATTAGGTGTACTACAAAATTGGAAAAAATAAAAACATGGATTGCGACTGTGATAACACAGCATATTTGAGTGCATTTACATGCTTGCACTTGTGTACAGCTTAAAGGACACAAGTAATCCAAGGAAACGTAATATAAATGTGTAAGAGTGAACCTAACCTGTCATTAGTATTTACGTTTATTGAACACTGTGTTGTGAGAAATAGATAAATGTAAGGAGTACTTGTGTTTACTCTTACTAACCTTACTAACCTTTTTTTAGATTTTACTATAAGGCTACATGCATTCTGGCGATCTTAGCGAGGGAAAATTTCTCTCACTCGACGGCGCCACCTGACATAGGCGCATAGCGAATATGACCTAATTACTAGGATATCGTACCTTGTATCGTGGCATGCAGATTTGCATATTATAGTAAAGAACCAACAATGCTTCAGAAAACGAGGGTGAGTGGAGGACTCTCTCGTAGTAAAAGTTTCTCATAAATAATATAATACAAATAATAAAATATATATGGCGAATTGAAGTCGTGTAATATGTATATTCTTAAGCTAAGCTAAGGCAGGATACTTAGGCTATGTTCGCATAAGGCTCCGTTAGTTACGTAAGTTAAGGTCACGTGATCATTTATCATAAGTGCGAGGGAGACAACATGATGTCACCGTCTCACTCGCACTCATCATAAATGGTCACGTGACCTTAACTGACTTAACTAATGGAGCCTTATGCGAACACAGCCTTACTCGGCGGCAAGTTTGAATACGCATGAAAATTTAAATATCTCGAGTACATCAGTATCCTATCACCTGAACCACCAATTTCGAGTGCTTTAAACGTGAACACCTTAATTTTTGTATTTTCATAGGGATTTGTAATAAATAAGTAATTTATTAGTAATAAATTGTATAATATTTTAGTAACACTGATACGTTATTACTCGTACCGTTTTTATGGTTTTCATAGATGAATCAAATGTTGAAATAGTTTGATTTTTATTACAAATATAAATCATGGATAATAAAAAATGGATAATCAAAAGATTATTAAAACTTCTTTTCTTTAATAACATCCTTTTAAATAATTAGTTAATTAACAAAATTATCTTAAAAAATTACTACTTTATTTTAAATTTACTGTTCCTCATAATTAATCAAGCTTATATTTGGTGACATAATCTAGAGCTCTAGGAGGGAAATAAGATGATAGACGATTAAAACATAACCTTGATTTTCACTTTTTCAATTGTGTGTCATGAGTTAAAGTTGCAATCGAGAAATAAACTGATCTACGTATTGTTCAATAAAACATCTATTTACAATATATCTTGCAACACAGCTACAGTAGTATCAAAATAATTTGATCGATAATAGGAAAGTCTTATTATTTTCCAAAGTGCCTTAAATAACAAGGTGTAAGCCTAAAGCTTATTTAATTCAGTGATTTGAGTAGTTAATAATTACATCCTAATAATCAATTTTTCAAGTATTAGTGAAATAAGAAACTGCTTAATAAAAGAAATTGTTTAAGTAACTTGGACATCGCTTTTACGGTTTCCGTACATATTTTCTCGTAGTAAATAATTTTTTATTGTAAGAATTACTTAATTAATGAATAACTGTAATTAAGAAAGTTTTGATTTTATCAATACATAAAAAAGATAATGTAATACATAAAAAAATTTAAGTTATGTAATTAGCTTAAAGAAAAAATTGCTGGAAATTATACGATAAAGTAGATTAATAAAGAAAAGACAAAGAAAAAAGCATCATAGATAAAAATTCTAAGATCGTATTTTTTAAGAAAATTTATTTTTTTCGGTAAATTTATGAATCATGTGTACAAATTGACCACTGCACACATTCGTACATTCAAAACTTTTATATCAACAACTTTGAGTATAAATTTAATGGAATCATTGTAGATTACCGTAGCTATGTTGTACAGATTTTGTTTCAATCCAGTACTTCGTAATATTAGCTATATTGGACAGCGGCGTTGGCTCAGTGGTAAGCGTGCTTGTTACTGATACAACGCAGTTCTAGGGGTCGTGGGTTCGATTCCCGGTGAATGCAGATTTTTTCGAAAACTGTTTTCATCGGGAAAAGTTCCTATGTAACGCCGGCTGTTTCGGGGCAGGATTTTCCGTGGAATTTTCCTTCAGAGGAATTCCAGGGTTTTTTCCTTGCCCCACAGTTTTTCGGACCTGGGTGAATGCGAAACAGTGTTAGGGCTATAGCTAGGGATTAGCGGACCCGATGCCAGGCGTCGGGCAGGGATCGCCGGCCTTACCGGTGAGGAGTGGCCCCTGAAACACGGGGCTTCTCCGGGGATGCTAATTAGCCTGGATCCGATGCTTCGGCAGAGAGCGCCGGCTTAACTGGCGAGGAGTGGACGTCCTGGAATAATGGAGTCTTCTCCGGGGAAAGGCTACACAGNAATGGGCGCTCGCGAGTGGGTTAGTTAAATTACGGAGCGTCGATGAGTCTCAAGACGGTAAGGGTTGATTGTCACAATTTTTGTGCCCGGTACTGCATTCACGTGGAGGAAACGCGAATGGAAAAAAAAAAAAAAAAAAAATGTTAGCTATATTAAATGTGATTAAGGTTTTTGAAATAAATATTTAAAAAATTGTATTTTCATGAATAGTTGTGATATCCCCATAAAATTACCTTTAAACAAAACAGAAAGGTTAGGGTAAGTTTGATGTGTTGAGTTGATGTATTGTAAGAAATTTTTGAAGCCTTCGTACACTGACAATGAATAGTATGTTTTTAAATAAATCTGTACCTTG